AGGGAAAGGAAGGTAAGTATGCACACTTAATGAGTTTTTATTCATAAAAAGAGTAATTAAAGTGATAGACAGTTGAAATTTTTATGCAATAATCTTTAATAATATATTACTTTATTACTATATAAACTTTAGACATTATACAAATAATATTGCATTGAAAGAAAAGTTTGAAAATATAAACGTTATAAAAAATTGGAATCGCGCACTTTTAACCGATATGAGAGGGCAGGAGTGCGCACTAACAATGATAGCAAATATGGCAAAAAATGTCCCAGTTCCTTCTAGTGCATTCTTTATGCCACCAATTCTTGCAAAGTAAGTCCATTCTTCATCCATTTGCTCTGCTTCTCCACAAGCTGGACAAATCGTTTCTTCATTTTTATCATTTTTAATATCTGTTTTTTAATATTTTTTTAATCATTTTTAATATCTGTTTTTTAACATTTTTAAATATCTGCAACATTTTCAACATTTTTAAAACTAGATTTTTTTTTTTTAAATTCTATTATTTTTTTAAATCAACTGGCTTTTTTGAATCTTGACTTGAATCTTTTAGATCGACTGGCTTTTTTGAATCTATTATTTTTTTAGATCAAAAGCCTTTTTTGAATTTCGACTCATATTTTCTTTGTCTTTTAGCTTATTTTTATATGCGTTTTCCTAGCCGCTATTGTAATGTGTTTTAAAAGTTATAACCAGATTGCAATACCTTACGCAAATTAAAATTCTAACCTCACTTTTTATTAGGAACTAAAATTACTATAACTCAATATAATATTTATATTTTATAAACAATAAATGTGTTAAAGTGAAAAAACATTAATGAAGTTAAAAGTATCACTTTTCACTTAATAACATAATTACTTTTAATATTTATGATATAAGATTGTAATATTATGTATATTAGTAAAATAATTCTTACAACAGTTTTAGCTTAGGATATTGTAGTTAGAAAATCACATTGCACCTCTCAGCTGAGCTCTTAGTAATCAGGAAATTTAAAAACAGTGGAAAGTCATATTGTAAAAATAATTGCTCTCCACCTGGTACAAAACTGTGAGAATTTTAATGTTGTAAAGTCTAAAACTTAGGGGCACTACCATTACTTTGCATGATTTTTTATTTTTCTTAAACTTTTTTTGCGTGTTGGCCTTTAACTCTTGTTATGTTATAGATCCAATGAAGATTTGTAGAAGTGTCGATAAAATGTTGCATATTTATTCTAAACAGCCATCACCGATTGCATGCTGCACAACACCCACCTGGTACCTAGATTTTGTCCAATAGAATTTAGTTTTAAACTTAAAGCCATGGCAATAGTTTCCAGTTCCTTTTGTTTTTAGGAGATACACTGTAAATGAAATATAACTAATCAAAAAACTTTTTCGTGTGACAAACTGGTAAAATGTCTAGCAGGAAATCATTCACTACGTCATAACTCTAAACGATGGTTAGAGTTATGATGCTACAATGTCATAAAATTAAATTAGAAAATCAATTCACAAGTAACGAGGCCATGTCTAGCTTTTTGTCGAGCATATTAGAAGCACCACCACAAGCAAAAGACACATGTAATAAAAAATTATTGTCAAAACCAAGATTATGTAAAGCACTTGTAAAGAGTTTGCAATAGATGAGCGTTCTGTATTTGTTAATTCAATAAGGTAAAAAAATATACTATTGACAATATTTATTTCTGGAATAATCACTCGCAAGCAGATTGACACAGCAGATTTTTTGCTCATCAAGGTATCATGAATCCTACTTTACTATTGTTAAGTTGTATATACTTGACATGCTTTGTGCACATTTCATTTGAAATGTGATAAACAATATCAGCATGTGCATTATCAGATTAAAAAATACGACCCATGTCTAAACCATTTTATACCTTTAATGAATTAGTTCTTTTAAAGCATTAAATGGATGATTCACTGATAACTTAGAACTTGAAAACTATTTCCTCCTTGATTGTTATTTTTTTCCTTTTGTTTCACCATTTTCTTTGACTTTGCCAAGCATCCAGATGCTAGCTAATTTTAATATTTTTTTATTATTATAACTTTAATATTATGGCTCATTCTCGGAGCCACATCTGCTAAGCCGTAAATCTTTTAAACTATTATCATTTGTTTACAAAAATAAATGTTTTATATTATACATTTTTTAAATTGTCAAAATTTTGAAAGTTAATTACAAATTATATATTTTATTATTTTTATATCTAAATTATATACTTTATTATTTTTATATACAAATTATATATTTTAATATTTTTATAGTATATTATTATTTTTTATATCTCTTCCTAATGCTCGGTTTAATTAATTGTTCGTTAGATTTGTCAAAACTAACTATAGTTAGCTATTTTAGTAAAATTTAATAGTAAAATTGTTGAAGAATTTCTAGAATGACGTCATGTACTAAAACTTCTATGAATTAAACGCACTTGAATAAATTATTGAGTCTGTATAATGCACCTGGAAAATTGCGTTTATTTTAAAGACTTCAAATACCCAGAAAATGGAGAAGACAAGCTTTGACTAAAACAACAAGATTTGTTTTTCTTGGTATACATTTATTTATTAGTTTTAATCAAAAAAATTTGCTCAGACGTTTTTTTTTTTAACATTCTCTTTAATATGAACACAACATGTTGCGGGACTTGGTGGTCCCTTTAAAATAGAAGAAATTAATCATTGGCTTTCTTGCACTGAGATTTTTAGTTTTAATTTATGTGTAACGTACTTTATAACGAATATAACTTTGTTGGTATTATTTAAGTATTACTTAAGAATATGCTAATTCTAATATTCAATTAAACATATTTTGACTTCAGCAAAAAAAATTTTACCAAAAATATTTTCTATAAAACCAACTTATAATTTTCTCCCTCACAAGTTCTTCAGACAGACGGGATTTTTTATTATCATAACAAAATTAGAGAGCGCTATTTGTCACGCCTGAAAGACCATTTATGGGCGTGTGTTTTATGTGTGCAGAGTGATCGCATCCGCTTCATCACAAGGGCTTATATATATCGGATGTTAAATTTATCTTAAACTTACTTTCTGGTTTTCTGAATCGAATACATAGTGTTTCAGGCTTGTGTTCTCCATCAGTAAAATCAGAAGGCGTATTCCATACTAACGCATTTTCACTATTATTATGTGGACTGATAACCATACTTGCTGACACTGCAACAATAACAAAAAGTAGAAAAAATAGAAAATAAAATAACTACTTTTAAATACATAATAAACACAAATATATTACAACAGCAAGTAAAACAGCTTACTGCTATGATTTGCACAAATTTTCAATGTTTTGTCACGTCGCATTATTATTCGATAAGCTTCTTTTGTATTATGTTTCATAATTTTAAGTTCACCAACTCCCCTCTCTTTCCAAGTAGCACCTTCTTCATCATCCATGTGAAATCTATATAGCTTACAACGTCTAAATAAGAAATTAGTACTTCAAATTTTCATAAAAATTAAAACCACAATTTTCCTTACAAAATATATATCGTCGTTGCTGCGTGACTTCAAAAGTAAATAACAGAGTAATATTTAACAAAATAACAGAGAGTAATATTTGACAAGAACTGCACAAACATTAAATTCTAAAAATATTTTATCTTGAACTTAAATTTATGTTTATATACATTAGAGACAGGTAAGGCTGTGGTAGAGAACCCAGCAGTAAGAAAAAAAGCCAAAATCTTAGATGTTCATCTTCTTGGTTGTTGTATCACAATAAAATAGTCTTGATCTTCTAAACAGGTTAAAGTCAGAAAAAATTGCTTTAATTTTTGATAATACCTTACTTATATAAAATAATAGAGAACCAATAAAAAAAAAAATTCTTTTTCAAAATGTAAAGCTGCAATCTGTGCAGAAAGTTGCTTTTTAATATCTGGATTCACTTCAAAAAGTAATATGACATAATTATATAAGATATAACTTAATGTGTATAAAAGTAAAATCAGCTTTGCTATCAATTCTAAGTAATTCCAGCCATAAGACTTTGCTTTGCATTATGTCATGTCATGCTTTTTAGCAGTAAACTTGCAGCAGTTTTATCCTTAATTACTTTTTCTGTAGCTTGTAAATGGCATGGTATGTCTTACAGTAGAATTGGTTAGTCATAAGAATGTTGCTCATTAGAAATATGGGACGACACTGGAGGTAGTGTAACATTATATTACGCCTAATCAATTATTTTAAAATATGGTTTGGCTGCTAAATTCAAAGAAATGTTTTTTTATTCTGTTATTTTATTCTGATATTACAAATGGGCTTTAGTAATTTTATCAACTGCAAGCCTACAAATCACTTTATCAGTATCATGAACAATACTCATAAAAATACTAAGAACACTTACAATTGGGCGATTAAGTTATGAACATTTCCAAAATTTTATTACTTAATTTCAAATGGTTTCAAAGATATAACTCTTCAAACTTTGCCTTAAACCAACAAAAATCTGCCATTTTGAAAAATGGTTTTGTCCATTAATTCTGATCTGTGTGCAATGGTTTTGTCCATTGTTTCTGATCTGTGTGCTGAAAATGCGTGGACTTACATAGTTTGACGCAAGGAATCCAATAAAACAACTTAAAATATTTAAAAATAAACATAACACCTGTAATTACAACCTTTATCACATTTTACTGGGGCGAATTTAGTTACAAAAATGCATTTTATATTTTTGTTTTTTTTGTTTTGTTAATTTACCTCCTCAAGGCCGAGAAGGCCACTACAAACGAGGAGGCTACTTAACCCTCTCTCAACTCTTACTCCAAAACACGAACCTTGACGAACAAGGCCGCTGCGCGGAGAAACGAGTTGAGCGCAGTACTACCAGGGACGTGGTGGGGATTGAACTTGGAACCTCTGGCTTATGAAGCGAGCGCTCTACCACTACCGCATGTTGTCCTAAATAGTTTAGTTTGAGTTATTACAAAGGATTGGAAAGCAATCTTTTCTTAAACAGAAAAAAATTGTATGGTTTCACATGAAATTGCCCTATTACAAACCTTATGATGAAGTGAGAGCAATTGCTATGCACATATAAAACACACATGCATCAGTAATATATATATATATGAATATGAATATATATATATATATATATATATATAGAGTATATATATGAGTATATATATATATGAGTATATATATGAGTATATATATATATATATATATATATATATATATATAGAGAGAGAGAGAGAGTATATATATGAGTATATATATATATATATATATATATATATATATATATATATATATATATATATATATATATATGAGTATATATATATATATATATATATATATATATATATATATATATATATGAGTATATATATATGAGTATATATATATATATATATATATATATATATATATATATATATATATATATATATATATATATATATATATATATATATATATACATATCATAGATCATCCAAGTCATATTTTAAAAATCTGGAAAACTGTTTGGGTAAAATATCCATAAAAAAATTGAAATATATTTTCCATTTAAATTTGCTATTAGTTGAGTTTTTTTAATTTTTTTTTCAAACTTTTCATAATTTTTTTAAGTGAAAAAAGCTTAAAAAACAAATAAATTACAAAAATATATACCTAAACTCGTATGTACGGAAACTGTTTTGGATATCCCGAAAAACTAAAAGTTAATAAAAGTATCCGGAATTCCAGAAATATCCGGAAAAAGATAATTGCTGATATACATATACATGTATATGTATATCAGCAATTATCTCTCTATAATTCTGAAATACAAAATTTAATGAATAAAGCCGCTGCGCTGAGAAAAAAGTTGAGCTTATCACAGAGCACCGCGGATGAGCATTTAATTGGAAGTTCATGCCTCCTTCCTAACCGATATCGCAAGACCTGCCCAGAGGTGGGGTTTGAACAACGGATCCTTTGTTTCTGAGGCAAGTGCGCTACCACTACGCCACGGCTGCTCATAAACTTAATAATATTATCCATAAATATTAACTTAAAACCTAAAAAAATAAAACTACTACACTATATTCCTTTAAGATGATGCTATAGACTTTCCAAATATCTAATAAGATATTTGTAAAATGATAGCAAATGAAAAACCAAGCACAACATTTTGCTAAATTTTCAAGGAAGCTGGGAGGGTACCTAATACTAAACACAAAAACAAAAAAAATTTACATTATACAAAAATAGATAAAATAAAAAAAAAAACTATTCATAATTTTATCTTATGCTTTAATTGCTACTTGAGTAAAATTATAAAATATAAGTTTTGTAAAAAAAACTTCATTCAAACTCTAAATCTTTTGCAAATCAATGATGAATTAATGCTAATTTAAAAATTCAAGTCTAAAAATGAAAAAGCAAATATGTGAAAATAATAGACATAATATGCAGGGTTTGAGTTAAGAGCATCGCAATTGCTTTACACCTTGGTGATTAGATTTTTCTAAAAAAATATATTCTCCATTTGTTTTGTTTTTTTTTTTTATTTATTTTGTTTTTTTTCTAATTTAGTTTTTTTTGGCAATTCTTAAAAGTAATGTTTTTTGCACAAATTTTTTTATTAGCGCTCTTAAAGTATGTCATGCTAAATTTATCTTTTGAATAGAAGCATGATCATTTGCTCATTCGGGCGGAGATTTTCATTCAACATAAAGCATTTTAAAATTTAAATAACCTCTCTGAGTGGAAATAAATGTTTGCGTGGAAGCCAATAATATTTTAAAATGTTATTAAAGAGAAAAGTTTTAGTAAAGGGAAAAGATGTTAAAGCAAATTTTTTCTTAATTCTCTTTTTTAACACAACAGCCTGGTTTTTATCTTTGTTTTTAAAACATTGCACCAAGTTAACTTATTAATAATTTAAATTATTGTTTTATCAACATTATCATATTATTAGTTTTACTACTTTATGTATATTAATATAAATTAATTTAGATTAAATTTGTTTTTATTTTAAAAAATTTTAATAAATAGTTATTGAACAATAATAGAAACCAGTAACTTTTTTGCTTCATTTTAACGACGCTGAACCTTTTAAAAACTCTTTTTATGACCCTAAACCTTTGACTATGATTTACTGAATTGATAAAGTTTTTCACAATAAATTTACTTATAAACTGAATCAAAACAATCAGTTTTTTTTTAACATCTTCGCTTCCATTAAGGCTGCAAGCAACCACAATTAGAGTCGAAAATTACTGGAAGAGAAAAGATAAAGGTTGTAGAGCAAGATAACAATTGACAGACGACTTAAGAGATTGCAAATTACATGAATCAGAAAAGAAAGATGAAGGGAGCGAATTCCAAAGAACTGATGTTCAAGGAAAAAAGCTAGAGGAATAGGAGTTTTTGGAGCACTTAGGAACAGTCATAGAAAAAGGATGAGACTTAATTGAATGACGAGTAATATAAGAATGAATTTTAGTAGATGGCACAAGAGAGGCTAGCTCTTTAGAGCAGTGCCCATTAGAGTATTTGCAGATAAGAGAAAGAAAAGCAACATTACGACGATGTGATAATGGTTGAAGGTTGGCTGCAAGAGCAGGTCCAACTATGTTTACAATGAATTTTTGCACCTTGTTTAAAAGGGAAAGGGCGTCATTAAAAGATCCACCCCAGATATGGCAACAGTATTCCATACAAGGACGGATTTCAGATTTATGGAGATTAAGAATAGAACCCGGAGAAAGAAAGTGTCGAGCTCGATAAAGAGATGCAACTTTAGCAGATGCTAATTTTGCAATGGATTTGATATATGGTTTTCAAGAAAAATCAGATGTAAGAGTTAATCCTAGAAGATGAAGGGTAGATGACTTATCGAGCACATTATCGTTTATAAATATAGGAAGGTGTAAATTATTGCGATAACATTTGGCTGAAAAAATTGAGTTTTATCTGAATTAAAGTTCACCAGCCACTATGAGTCCCATGCTGTAGTAGAAGTGAGATCCTTTTCAAGCTCAAATCCCCCCTCTAAGCAATCAGAGAATGTTGGCTTATCATGACAAGAATAAATGGTAGCATCATCAGCAAACAATGCCACCTTGGATGTGAGAATATCTGGAAGATTGTTAATCTAAATTAAAAAGAGTTTAGGACCAAGGATTGAAGCTTGAGGAACCCCTGAGGTTATAGAATAAGGAGAAGAGTGCTGTCCATCGAGGACAACTTTTATACTACAATTGAAAAAGAAGGATTCGATAATATTAAAGATGTTTCCAGATACACCGTAAGAAGAAAGCTTATGGAGAAGACCAGCATGCCAAACTTTATAAAACGCTTTAGAAATGTCAAGAACAATGGCCTTAACCCCTCTTCCTTTATCTAATGCACAATAAAACCTGTCGGTTATTAGTGTTAATAAATCAGCCGTAGAACGAGAAGATCGAAATCCATATTGATGATCAGAAAGTAAGTTATTAGATTCAAGATGAGAAATTAAGTGTTAGTTAATTAAAGATTCTATGATAGGAAGAAGACTAATGGGATGGTAGTAAGACAAATCAGATTGCTCTCCAGAATTTTAAAAAATAGGAATAACAGATGCTGCTTTCCAGCAGGCTGGAAAACAAGACTCTGATAAGCACTTGTTGTTAAGTTAAGTTACTACAGTAACTTACAGTTACTCGAATAATAATTTATCAACTATATTAATTTACTTAATATACTCAAAGACTCTCAAAAGTTAGCCGTACAAATGTTTCTGTCTATATCTTATATGTTGTTAACACATAATATATGCTTTTAACTAAAAATTACTCTAACAAGAAATGTCAAACGAATACCATTTTTTTATATTCAATTTTTATTTAAAGCGATACAAAAATTAAACATTTCTATAAATACGCAAGTTGTTTTTAGGAGTTTTTTTAAAAAGAAATTTATTAGAGCAAAAGAATTTATCTAAAAAAGTCTTCTAAAATTCTCTTATTCAAATATTTTTGCGATTAAAAATTTAAATAAAAAAAAAGAAAAAAGGAAAAATTAATTTTTTTTTTTAAACATTCAATGATTTTAATTGCAGTGGCATCCTTAATACTTAGTGGCATAGCGAGGGTCATTCCTGAAAGTTAGACGTATATCTAGCCACAGTAACAATATCAGATTTAGAACATAGAGCAAGGGAGAAAAATTTCATTTAAATTGTAAACATTTTAAAAAGTACATTTCTTTTTTATTTCTTGAAAATAGTTTTCAAAGTAGAAACATTCTACTGCAAAAATTAAACAGTAATTGTTGCAACAATTAGACCAAAAATCAAATTTTAAAAAATTTAAATAAAAATAAATTATTTTACTTCTGTTGAAGGAAATTTTTTTCCAAAAAAATAATTTAAGCATATAATTAAACTTAACAAAATATAAATCGGTTTATTAAACCAAATTTTTTTCTAACTTATTATTACAAAACAATTTGAACGAAAAAATTGAAAAAAAACATTAACTTAAAAACCATTTGAATGAAAAAATTATTTATACTTTAATTTTAATAGTCCATTTACCATACTTAGATCACAATAAATAATAAAAAACATGGTATCTAATTTATTTTTTCTTTGACATTTTTTTTTAACTAAAATTTTTTTTTTAATTAAACATTTATTTTATTGGTTTTGTTTTAAACGCATTAAAAATTTTTTTTTTGTTATAAAAACTTAACTTTATAAAACAGCAACATGTACAGTGTCACTAGGTTGTTTTATATTAACACAAGTTCTTTATATTGTCAAAACTTTACAGTTTGTTTTATTGTTGTTTTATAGCTTTTTACAATAACAATTCAATACTCTCTAAAAATAACACATGTTTATCATCAGCATGAACAAATTTAATAGTTTTCTACAACTAAAGTGGTTTAAATATTGTAATATTTGCATTTTTACTTTTATTTTTTTAAGTATCATGTTAGGTAAAAACAATTACTAAAAGTAATATCATAATAGTATTAAATACTTTACTTGCTCAGTACATCATAACTTGGTCATTACACAATAACTGCAACTTAAACTTTAAGCTATAACTTAAGCTAAAAATTATAACAGTAAACGCTATTTTAAACTCCGCCAAATGAGAAAATCATAAGTTAAAACTTGAACATTAGAGATATTATGCTAAAAAAATAACAATTATGAACTAATGTTAAAAAAATACAACTTTATTTTAACGCTACCTCCCCTTAATTTAAAAGATTATTTATCTAAAAATAAAAAAAAATCTTTAAGTAAGAGAAAAAAAACTAAAACTTAAAAAACTAGACTTTTATGATCAAAAAATGAAAAGAACTAAACTTAAAAAAAACCACTAAAATTCGAAAAGAAAAATATTTTATATTACATTTTAAAAATACATTTTTTTACAATGTGAAATGCTTTGTAAATTATTTTAAATTATTAATATATTAATTACATTAATTGTTTTATTGAATATCCATTTAATAGGATTGGAAACCAGATTAATCAGTCTTCTACTTTTCCAAACATAATGATAGGCTTTTTATCTATTCTCTCTTGCCTAATATGCCTAAGGGGTTGTGGGAATAAAAAGAGTGGTGGAAACTTTAGTCCAGATCTATTAAAGATAGTAGGGGATGTAGGGGAGAACCTATAATCAAAACTCATAAATCTTTTACAGAACACGCAAAAAACAATTTAATTCTAGTTTGGCTAGTGATCAAATGCGCATTTTTTAAACAGCTATTATATCATAATTTCAATAGGATTTAATATGCTTGGTGAGAAGTACATTTATAAATGAAGATTAACAAGATTTTTTTAGGTCAACAATATTTTAAAGCTTACACTGACAAGATTACACTTTATTGTTATTAGTAACTGATATTTATATTTTTTAATTTTCAAAGCCATTTCAAAATGATTTTTTTTTAAATTTTGAGATATAATTTTTTGTTGATAACGAAAAACTTTATTTCAAAAAATAATTAATTTTTTGTAATAAAGTTAATAATTGTGACCCAAATATAAATTGAAAAAAAAAAAAAAAAAAGGATCGGATATCCGGTGTACTTTTTCCAGTTCGGATAGCCAAAACATAGGATTTTTTAAATATGTTACTATAATGGAAATTAGGATATCTGGTTATTACAATATTTTTGGTAGGCTTTACTTATTTTTTCTATATAAAAAGGAGTACTCACTACATTTGTAAATGGAATTAAAGCTTTGTATAAGCTGAGTACCTGAGTACCAAGCTTTGTACCTGATGAAAATATCCTGGAGTATCATAAAAAATCTAAGTGAATGCAAAAAAATATTTTAACTATTACAAAAATATTTAAACTATGTAATACAAAAAGAATTTTCAACTTGAGGTAATCTTTTTTCCTTTCTAATACAGTTTTGCAGCACTTTAATAATATAATAAAACTATGACTAAAATAATAAACATACATTTTAAAGTGCTCAACTTCATCTTCTTCTAAGGCGCAGATTTTTACTTTTTCTAATGTTACAAGAGGTGTTACGTGTATTTCTCTTTCTGGACTGCCGACCACAACTGGAATCTAAAAATTATTAGTAAATCAATTGTTAAACAATGAATATAAATAGCAATCAAATAAATGATTTGTATGTATGTGTGTGTTTATGTATATAAATATATACATTATTTATAGTGAGGCAAGATGAGGTGGGATACAATCCTTTTATATCACTTCTTAAATAGTAATCATGATTTTTTAACCATCTGCCAATTTTATAACTTCTAATGTAACAATGATTAGGAAAGATATTCGGAAATCATCGAAAATCATCCCATTTATTTTATTTTATTCGAAAACCATCTCATCATCCCATTTATTTTATTTTCTGAAAACCATCCCATCATCCCATTTATTTTATTTTCTATTTTAAATATTATTTTAAGGAAAGAAGAACAATCACATGCCCTCCTTCACCACACAAAATATTTTGTCTTTACAACTCGACCACAGCAGTTTACATGTTTTAACAACTTTAAGCATATTTTCTAGCTAAACTGCTTAAAAAAAAATTCTTTATGTTTATATTTATCTTTATATTTGACAATCAGTTTCTATAATATACTGCAAAAAAAAAGTTACTTATGATACTGGTTACATGCTAAAAACTTGACTATTTATTAATTTCATGGTAATACTTAACCTATCTACTATTAGGATCAACAGTGTTGTAAAAATACTTTCAAAAATTATAAAAAATACAAAAACAAATACTTGGTCCAAAAATAATTCAAAAGAAAAAGAAAATAGAATTGTTCTGTACACGCTAATCAAAATGTGTACAAACCATTTACAAAATATTGTGAACGATTCTTAATGATTACTAGTTTGTATGGAGTTTGTTCTTAGTGATTCAAATTCAAAAAATCATTACTACCAGATGTTGAAGTTTTGTTATCATCATTTTGTTAAATTTAATTGTCTCTATAAAATTTTATTGTTTCTATAAAGGCTTTCTTAAAATAGTCTTTCTTTTTATTATGGAACCCATTTCGGCTTCATTTGATTATGAGATGTAGCTGAAACGTAGATCTCAAAGAAACTGCTGTATTCAAACAAGTGCAGGCAACACTGATTTATGTTTGAAATAAATATTTTAATTAAACTTTTACTGTGGATGACTTTCAGAACCATTTGTATGAGGAGTTCTAGAAAAAAATTATGTTTCCTTTGAAATTTAGAGCATCAGCAATTGTTTGCATTCTTCTAGCATCTTTAACTTCACTATTTTGAAACAACGCAGTTTCAGTGGATCCATAATTTGGGGGAGCTTCTCTTTAATATTTATATGAGAATATTACTAAAGTTTCATTGAGGCAAGACTTAATAGAAGAAGACTTGATAGAAGATTTCATATGATGACATATGCCAACTTTTGGAACCAAAAAGTCAACACATGGCAGTATATGTAGAATTCTATTGAGTTGCCCCTGGTGTCTTCAATGATATTATAGTAATATTTCCACAACTTCAAACACTTGTGTGCCTCAGCTGATGTATGACGTATTAAGCAATAGGCTATTGTGCTCTTGAATTATGGTTTGTACTCACATTCACACCATTTTAACTCACACCATTTCAAATCAATTTTAGATTGTCAGTTGTGACATGTAGGTTCAGAGTGCGGCTGACACATCTCATATGTTTGTGTAAATACTTGCTATTAATTTGTTCTTGTTCATTTGTAAAAATGGTGTCAACATTGATTACCTTTACTTCATATGTATCTTTTAAACTACACAATGAACTCTACTTCTACTGATTCTGCATTTCTATCACCACAATGGGTATTATTTTGGAATTTATTAAATGCTTTGAAAAAATTGAAACCCTTGTCAGCCATAATGAAAGCTGTTGTGATGATCAAGCCTAAAGTCATAATGTATGTTTACAATTTGTTTTGCAGTTGTGTCAAATGTATGATACTGATTGAAACATTTTTAGACAAGCATAGATCTTCTACAATCCAGTGAACCATAACACATTTAATAATCTTGTAATATTATTTTTAATTGTATTAATTATACTTTCAGGTGATCATCAAACTTGCTAATGAGTTGGACAAGACATAACTGTGGATGAAAGGGAACAGCTGGTAACTAAATCTTTCAAAGATTGTTTTTAAACTGTTATCAATAGTTGAAATTCATTTATGATGTTATTGATAATTTAATTGTTTACCTTTGTTAAAGGAAAACCTTTAGTCCTTGCATTTAATTATTATTTACTAGTAGTTAAAATCATTTTTTCAGGGACACCTGTGCAGACCAGCATCACTCAGACCTGTTTCTTTAACATTTATTTCTTGCATGCATCATAGTTGCTAACTGATTTAAGATAAACAGCCTGAAAAAAGATAAAAGAAATATAATTGGAAACTTTTATTTTAAGAAAGAAAAAGTTCTTTTTTCAACTTTTAATCTTTGGACTAAGTCCTAAAACCTGTTTCTTCTAAATCAAAGTCTAAAAACAAATGATGCCTAATTCAATGCTATTTATTTCTTAAATAACTTAATTTTATTAGTCTTTTTATAAAAATTATTCAATAGTAATATTATAAACATGTAAACTTTGTAATGTTGATTTATATATTTAAACATTCGATCAAGAAATAATGATAGTAATAATAATAATAATAATAATAACAATAATAATAATAATAACAGATACATAAATAATTACCTTAAGATGCTTTGGCAGGTTTGAAGTTTAGTAAATTGCAGACAATAGGTTCAACACCTAGCCAACATTTTCTTTTTCATTAGTATGTATGGCTATTTTAAAATAACATTTAACCAATACTGAAGGATGACCTGGTGTTAGAACCATGGTCCTGAGTTAGATGGCATTTAAGGCTTTTCATGAATTTTGTTAGAACCTGAATCTGTATCATTATCTTCTGACGCCATTGTACTTTATAAACGTTATTTTCTCACAAGAAATACAAAGTCAAAATATGTTCTTTATCTTTTTATTAAAATTTTATTTAAAAAAATTAAGTAATATTTTTTTTTCACTTAATAAAAACTAAAAAGTTTTTTGTATCTTGTAAGACATCAATAATACAAAATACATCCAGAATTGTATCTAGAATACAAAATACTTGACTGGAAAAGTTTTTAAAAATCTAAACAAAAATACTTTAAAAGTATTCAAAATACTTTACAACACTGAGTGGCATAAATAGTTTCTTTTTTTTGACGATTTAGGCATTTAAACATCACAGAACTTCAGGCAAACGTTTAGCATTAAGTAACATAACAAAATCTCAAATATTAAGATTTAAAATTAAAAAACATTGAGTTAAACCCGATCAACTATGTTATAAAGTCTCACAGTAAAATCAGGAAATTGTACTTTGATTAACAAAATTTATTTGCTAATACTCTAGTTTGAAAAACTTAATTTTTAGAAACTTTTTATTTAAATCTAATATTTCTTGTTTAAAAATATAATCGTGTCAGAATGTACACGCTAACATTTTAAACAAGAAACACAACTAAACCTAGATCATTAAAATTGATGACTGACCTAGAAAAGCAACTTTTAATTGCAAAATTCTTCATTTTATTAAAACACGACGCGTTTTAATAGGAAAAGTATGAATCACTTTAAAGTTATATCCTTTATAAAATTTGGTGAAAATGTTTGGCAAAAATCTTAGAAAATAAGATCAAGACCAAGGAATTCTGATTCTAATAAGTCTTACTTGCTCCTCTGACATTTTCTTTCAAAATGATTTAAGGGATAAACAGAGACTCTTAAAATGTGAAACAAAATTAGAGAAATTCGCGCCTTGACAGTGTTTTCAGTTTAAAATCTTTTACGGTTTTTGGAGATAAATATTACGGTAACCCGATATTTTTTGTAAAGCTGCGTAAGAGTCAGGGTATCAACATCAGTTTTTGCTGTCTAATAACATCTGTCCAACAACATCTATAAATATATTAAAGTATAACTACATCTGTCATAAAAAATCTGTAAATACACTTAGGTATAATAAAATCTGTCCAACAACATCTAAAATCTCATTGATGTATAATAACATCTGTGTAAAAAGTATATTAGTACTACAGATGTAGTTACATCTTTTCAATTATTTAACTATAATAACATCTGTTCAACTACATTTAGAGATTTCACAGATGTAGTTGCATCTTTTAAATTACATTAAAAATAGTTTCAGGGTTTTATGACGTTAATAAATTTTAATGCGTTATTTTACCCAGATGTAGTTACATATATGGTTATTTTCAGATGTGGTTACATCTGGAAAAATTATTAAATAAGACATTATTTTAACCAGATGTAGTTACCTATATGGTTTTTTTCAGATGTATATACATCTGAAAAAAAAAATATATAGGTAACTACATCTGGTTAAAATAACTACCCAGATGTAGTTACATATATGGTTATTTTCAGATGTGGTTACATCTGGAAAAACTATTAAATAATAAGACATTATTTTAACCAGATGTAGTTACCTATATATTTTTTTCAGATGTATATACATCTGAAAAAAACCATATATAGGTAACTACATCTGGTTAAAGTAATGTCTTATTATTTAATAATAATAAATAAATTTAAATTAAATATAAATGTATTATTTCAACCAGATGTAGTTACATATGTGGTTATTTATAACTAACCATATATGTAACTACATCTGGTTAAAATAATACATTTATATTTAACTTTTTTTTTCCAGATGTAACTATAGTTTGGAAAAAAATTTAAGTATAAATGCATTATTTTAACCAGTTGTAGTTACATCTGGTTAAAATAATGTCTTATTATTTAATAATTTTTTCCAGATTTTCAGATATCATTTGACAATTTTTCCAGATTTCCAAAAATTACAAGATGTCGTTACGTCTTCCTAAAGATGTTGTTAGGGGTCGTTGAAATTCCAGATGGTATTGGACAGATGTTGTTGGAGTAAAAAAAAAATGCAGATGATCTCGGACAAAAGTGTACAGATGATCTTGGACTACTCTACAGATGTTGTTGGACAGATGTAATCATCTTTCACCCTGTCAAATAGTCAGAAGAACATTTTTTAATTGTTTGAATTGAAAAACACAAATAAACTAAAATACATTTGTATTTTTTGAATACAAACACAAACAAAATAAAAATAAAAAAATTTCATATGTATTTTACTAATTAAAATAAATGCGTATTTGTTGAACTAGTTCATTAAAGTTTATTTTATGTTTTAAAGGTTCTCGATGAAAAGACTATTTAAGTCTTCTGCGAGTTTCCTTACAACAAAGAAAAATATTTTTTAAGAATAATTATATATATATATATATCTAACATATATATATATATATATATATATGTTAGAATTATTTTGTTCTATCTCCACTTTTTGAAAAAAATGAGTTATTAATTGTGTAATGTACCTCAAAATAATGTTTTTCTACTATATTAAAACTTAAGTTAAAATCAAAAAAGTTTCGGAGAAAACATAAGTAATAAAAATCTTTTTAGATGCTGTCTCCTAAAGTTTTTATTTTTTAAATCGTTTTATCTCGAAACAAAAAAATGTGGAGATAGAACAAAATAATTCTAACCTCGCGATATATATATATATATATACATATATATATATATATATATATATATATATATATATATATATATATATATATATATATATATATATATATATATATATATATATATATATATATATATATATATATATATATATATATATGCGCGTCTATTCATTTTTATATGCGTGTTTATTCGTTCGTATATGCGTGTTTATTCATTCTTATATGCGTGTTTATTCATTCTTATATGCGCATTTATTCATTCTTATATGCGCGTTTATTCATTCTTATATGCGCGTTTATATGCGGGTCAACCACCCATAAAATCTCTAATATAATTTAATATAAACAATAAATACGCTTTTAAATTTTTATATAGAAATATTTAAAATATAAATTAGGTTGTTTTCATTGTTATTTATTTAAGAAATGGTTGCTGAGCCAGCGATGGATTTATGTAACTACGCAAATGGTTGTAAAATGGAATTAATCCATACTATTTTTAAGTTTCCTGATTACCCCATCCATCGAGGCCTTTCTCCCTGTTTGTAAGTATGTTTTAAAGAAGAAAAAAATTCTTTTGCTGGATTATGCTGTGGCGTGTATGCTCGCAAATATTTAATAGCTATACCATGAGAGGCCAGTGTTTGCCTAACAGAAAGACTCCAGTGGAATTTACAATTGTCCATAACAAGCACCGGCGCTTCCACATTTGCATTCCTAATCGCTGGTGCCATCATTATAGTTATGAAAATACAAAATGAATCTGCATTCCAGCCTCCAGTTTTTGTTTCATAAGCAAGCGCTTCCATTGTTGAAACAGCAAAAATTAAACTAACATTCTTGCCACGATTTGCAGGTGACTATAATATTGATGGTGTACTTCTTAGAAAATAACCATATACGCTGTTAGTGTGCAAATTAAATACAGTTTCATCCAAATAAATAAGTTTTTCATCTGAAATTCCGTCTATTTCGCTTGCAAATGCGTAGCATGCATTAATAACTCGTGTTGAATTTCGTTCTTCTGGCACATGCACAACACCTTTTCCTGATAAATCCGAGAATTTGAGTTTTCTTGAAATAGTAGGCTGAGACATGTTGAAGCCTGTTGCAGAAAGATTTTTTTTTATTACTTCTTGCGTGCAAAGATTGTTTTCTTGTACACATAATTCGATAATATTTTTTATTTGAGAGTTTATAGGTTTATTACCTCGTTTTTTATCAGAAAACGACTTGAATGCAGTCATGTCGTCGAATTCTCATCTTTTAACTTAGCAACAAGGTTTTGAACTGTGCGCTTCGATAAATTAAGAGAAGTGGAAATGCTTGTTGTAGATTGATTTCTTTCAATTAAATGCTTAAGCATTTCAATGTGCTCTTTTGTAACATTTTTCCTTGTTTTACGATTGGTACTGCTATTTTCTATTCAATCCATAGAGATGTATAATTTGATATTATTAATAATTATAAATAATTAAATTTAAATCTAGATAAATAAATAATTAGATAAATAATAACTTAATCAATCAAGAAAATTAATAATAAAATTACAAAGATCTAATACTAAATTAAATAAACCATAGTCGAAAACAAAGAACTAATACTAAATTACAGGGTCATTCATTCTTATATGCGCGCCTATTCATTTTTATAAGCGCCTCTATTCATTCTTATATGCGGATTTATTCATTTTTATATGCGCATTGATTCATTTCTATATGCGTTTTACAAAAGCAATTGTAAAAAAGCAATTTGAACAAAAAAAAATCATTTAAGCGATTGGTTTTGAAAAAACAATTTATTTTTTCAAAGCAAATTTTTCTTATTTCCTGGTTAACGAGGTTAAAAATACTTAAAACGAAGACTTTTTACATTCGATGATGGTTTATTTAATTTAGTATTAGTTCTTTATAACTTTATTATTAATTTTCTTGATTGATTAAGTTATTATTTATCTAATTATTCATTTATCTAGATTTAAATTTAATTAAATCTATTGCAAGAAGCAATAAACAGTGCCGGATCAAGGAGGAGGGGGGGGGGCTAGGGGGACTATAGCCTCGAGCTCCGCAAATTAAGGGGCCCCAAAAAATTTTAGAGGACCTTTGTTTTTTTTTGTGTTAAGTCATTTTTAGGCTCTGGCCCATAAAAAGGCCTCCAAAAACAGAACATGCTATCCTAGATCTCATTAATAACATTACAACTTCCTTTAATGATAGGAAATTTGTATTAGGAGTCTTTGTTGATCTTACAAAGGCGTTTGACACAGTAGACCACACAATACTACAAAAAAAAAAGGAAAAATATGGCATAAAAAATCAAACTATAAAATGGTTCGCCAGCTACCTAGACAACAGACAACAATGTGTTACCATAGATCACTATAACAACTCGAAACAACTAAAAATCAAATGTGGGATTCCTCAAGGATCTATTCTAGCTCCTCTTCTATTTTTAATTTATGTCAACGACCTCCCTAAAGTCTCATCTAAGTTAGATTGCATAATTTTTGCAGACGACACTAATCTGTTTTATTCTTCTAGCTCAATCAGTGACCTCTTTATAACCGCAAACTTAGAACTTATTAAACTTAACACATGGTTCAGAGCTAACAAATTGTCATTAAACTTAAACAAAACTAAATACATCTTATTTCACCCTAACCAAAAAAAAAAGGCTATCCCATCAATTTTACCAACTCTTAGTATAGACAACACAATTATTGAACGAACTCAATCATCTAAATTTCTTGGTGTGCTTCTTGACGAGAAATTATTTTGGAACTCTCACATAAATACCATTAATACAAAAGTCTTTAAAAACATTGGTCGACTCTATAAAGCAAGAAATTATTTATCGTTCAAAAATTTAAAACTTCTTTATTTTTCCTTTATACACAGCTATCTATCATATGCCAATGTAGCATGGGCAAGTACCCATAAAACTAAATTAAGTTCACTCTATAGACGACAGAAGCTCGCCACAAATTTAGCACTAGAGCAACTGGAAACTATATAGTACCCCTTAAAAAAAGAAAACTGTCTCAATTCTCAATAACATATCGTGGTCCTTACTTGTATAACAAATTAATACCAAAAAATTCCTCAATATCTGTCCTGAAAAATATAAATTCCTTAAAATCTTATCTTAAAAAGCTTGTCTTAAATACAAGCAGTTATATGGAAATTTTCTAATAACTTATGAGTAATTAAAATATCAAAATTATGTACATAAAAAAAAAAAAAGTATGAATATACATATATACATGTATGTGTATGTGTATGCGGGTATGTATATATATATATATGTATGTATGTATGTGTGTGTGTATGTATGTATGTATATATATATGTAT